GGCTTGAAGCACGGTTGATATAGGGATGAGACAGAAGACACATCAAGGCGGGGAGCACGTATGGAGTTCAAAATGCAGCAGAAAATGAGATACAAAAGTCCCAAAGAGGTTGTGCGTCAAGAAAGGTGGTCATGATGAACGTAAACTGGATTCGGGCAGGGAATTTATGCCTTCCTATCTAGCTACCAGACTGTTCTACTCCGGCACTCCGGATCGATTAAACCGGTCGCAAGAACTCTGACTACTTGTGTGGCCACGAAGGTGGCAGTCGTTATTCAGCAGACACCAAAATTTTGCACAGAGAAGTGGGCTTGTTTCAGTGTGCAAGGGCAATCAGGAGCCAACCTCCAAAATGGCCATACAAAGTGTGTTGCAATACTGCCTAGAGCAGAAATGCCATCACAAATCACTTTCTAGACTGAGTAATCTGCAAACCAATTGGGATAATTATACCCCGGAAACACTCCCTGCCTGATTGACCTATGTCCTGGTCCGTCTAGTTGCCCATCTACAGGAAACTTGACAAGCCATGGGTGGCCAATGGCGGAATGACAGTTGCAAAGAAAAACTGTCCCTAGAGTCGGCTGTAAAATTACATGCGAACTTGCAGCTTGAACAGGATGAGTGGCGGAAGAGAGTGTGCGATGGGTGCTGCGTAAGTCAAACTCTCTCTCTCTCTCTCTATATATATATATATATATATCAGAGGGGAGACGACAGAGTCTGGGGGTCTACCAGATGGGTCATAAGCACTTCATCGAACCGAAGTTCATCAGTGCCTCGCCACCTGCCATTCTCTGTCACGCGCACGTGGTAGAATTCGTCACTTGCGACGAGCGAACTGTCAAATGTATAGCAGCCTGCGATCAGGTATGTCAGATGCTTCCAAAAAAGCGATAAACCATTGCGGCGTTGCGACAGAACGCAGACTGTCCGTCATAAAGCATGGCGCAGTCCACAACTGGCATACAACTTTGGATCGGTGTGTTGAACGGGCAGATGGAGACATTCGGTTACGAACCAAGCAACCACAGGGGCTATTCCCTTCTCAGGTCGTCTCATTAAACCACCGTTCGGCGAGACACCGCTGGATGGGGGTTTGGGCGACCAGATGGCTCTGGTCCGCTCGGCCTGGTTGATCACTTAACAGGATAATTCCTGTCTAGAAGCAGCAATAGACTCCCTTCTCAATAAGCTTATAAAGTTTGACAGTAAACACCCGAATAGTATACTCCCACAGAGCGGCTAAGGGTACGCGAGGCTTATACCCACTCCTCCTCCAAAATATATTGCCCTATGATTTCCCTTTATTACGTTAATACTTCCTGATGTCGAGCATGCAGAACCCAACCAGCATTCTTTTGATTCCTTATCCTACTTATGCCGGCGGCCCTCTGCAGATAGGACTTGGCAGTCTCATGCTATAGCACACGGTTCGTCCCACGTCCTGCATTTCCTCCTAGGCGGTTTGATCAGATGCGGCGATAGGGCCTCTCGCACTAAATTTCAGGGGCGGGGTACCTGCAATACCGGGGGGGGGGAGTCAGTTTTTTGCCCGCCGTAGTAACCAGACAATATGACAAGCTGCGACGCCCAACTTCTCACTCTGACCAGCTGACGTTCAAGTCGAACCGCATTCTCTGAACGTCAGTCTTGCACGCAGGAAGCCACTGGACTAGGAGTAACTAGGAGCGAGACGGATGCCAGCCCCACAGTACGTGAACGGCGGAAAAGTGGTTACACGAGCGGGGTCAGCAATAATCGGGAACGAGCTTACTAAATTATATCAAACTATCTAAAAGATTTAAGTAGCAACTATACAGCAATACAAGTAGAGAAGAAGACTCGAACACCGGAACACTGTTTATCGTCCTGAGCTTTCATACTCGTGCAGGAGTCCACCATCAGAGGTAGTAGCAGCAACAGAACAGGCGACAGTTATAAGGCATGTAGGCCAATCATCGACCGACGGCGCAAGACTGGAGGTGACTACGCAGGCCCCTGTACGCCGAAGCCAGATCGATAAATCGATTTACCTAGTTCTCATTCGCGGCCCAGGCTTCAAGCAATTCTCGGTCTGTTTTGTTTCCGGCGTGGGCGACTATTTTGGTGGCTGCGAAGTTAAACTCGTGACCCGTTTCGTAGGTGTGGGCGGCCACTTGTGATAATGCGTCGCCTCGTCGCACAGCCAGCGTTTGTTCGTGTATGTGCGATCCAAGCATGCGCCCAGTCTGTCCTGTGCAGTTACAAGAACAATTTTGACACGGGATACGATATACTACTCCAGATTGCTTCTCAGACTTTAACCGGTGTTTGATTTTCATGACCCTATTGCGTATGGTGGCTTTGAGGCGGTGTACAATTCGGACATCTAGTTCCGCAGCAATGTGCTCGGTCGCTTCTGAAACGCCCGTGATGTATGGTAGAGAATGCCATATCGTCGGTGGTGTTGATATTCGAGTCCTCTGGTGGCGACCGCGTAGGCAGAGACTTATGAATGCACTCGGATAGCCGTTTTGCACAAGCTGGTCACGGAGATAACGGGCCTCACGTGCTCTGTCTTCCAGTTTGCTGCAACGAGTTTAGATCCGTTTGAAGAGCGTCTTAATACATCAATATATTACACGCGGTAGGCACATAAGTTTTTCCCACACTCGAGATGGAAGAAATCGTAATTCGTACACTTCTTCCAACCCCAGCTTGAAGATACATACGAATTGAGGCACATGCTCACTCACTCACACATAATTATTAAACTGCTTTCAGC